ATTAGAAGTATCTTATACCTTGAGCTGCATAATGGTGTGTGTGTGTGTGTGTGTGTGTACAGTATGTAAAATATTTGTAAGCACTTTCAATACAAAGTAAATAAGAAAAAATCATTTATTTATTGTATAAGTCAACTTTCACATTTACAACAAAAGTTAATTGTATGAATTTATCCTAATGAGTAGGAAACTAAGCTTTGGAATTCCAGTAGAGGCACAGAATCTGTGCGCACCTGGATACACACACATGCAACTCCCTGCATGCCTGACCCTAAATTATTCATGGCTTGTTCAGCCTCATTGACCCTCATACTTGGAAGAGATTTCCCATGTCATCTAATTCAATGATTCATCTGAAGCTTGTCTGTAGCCTCCCCTCTGGGTGGCCATTCTACTTTTGTGAACAAAAGTCCCCTGGTGACCAGAATATGTTGTGATGTTCTGAGGAAGTCTTTTCTCTCTTGGGAGTCCATCCCTAGGCTAAAATCTGGCTTTGTCCATTCATTGGTCTTATTTGTAACCCCAGAGGTCTTGCAGTTAAGTGGGGAAAGAATTGTCTTGCTGTTTACCCTGAACATCATGCTTTATCTTGTATATCCATGTCCGACGAAAGCAGGCAAACTTTCAGGGATATTCATCTTGATATTTTTCTCCCCCTTTAATTAACCACAATACATCTTCCTATCAGGAACGAGATTTTCTCATAAATCTCAATATTTTCCCCCAGGAATGAAAAGGGATATTCTGAATATAACTATCTGTTGAGTGCCTTCTCAGCATCCCTTCCTCCTCCCCATACTCTAAGGTTAAACACTTCCTGTGCTCCCAGCAGTGAGCCTTTTCCTGTTGTCAATATGTACAAAGATCCACAAGTCTGTAATCCAGTCAGTCATTCAACACCTAGTTATTGATCATTCTGTATGTGCTGGCAATGTTTCAGGTATCCAGTGATAAGCAAAAACAGATGTGTTATCCACCTGCCAGGGTTTTCACTCTATTAAGGTTATTAATCACGTATTTACATAAGTAAATGTAGAACTGCAACTGTGATGGGTCTGTGAGGTAAAGGTACATGGTGTTATGAAAACACAACATAGGGAGTCATCAATGTCAGAGAAGCCTTTCCTGAAGAAGTGACCACTGAGCAGAGGACAAATAAAATGGAAATACACTAGGAAAAAAGGAGGATAAATGTCATTTCAGAAAGGGGAAAGAGCATGAGCAAGGCTTTATGACAGGAAGGCAAAATAAAAATACCACTTTCAAAGATCAGAAAGAAGGCCAGTGTCGTTGGAGTGGAGAAGACAAAGAGCAAAGCAACACGAGAGGAGACTAGAGAGACAAGAAAGGGCCAGCTTATGCATGGGAGAAATGTTGCCATTAACTTGGGGAGTGACTTGAAGCTAGAGTTGGCTTCAAATGCTTGTGAAAGAGTATTCCTTGGAAAGTAACTGAGCAAACAAACTAACAATGAGAAAGCAGGTTTTGAGAGAGCTCTGCTTAAATTAGTAACTTTGAATCGGGAATGCTGCATCAAGGTTCAGGGCACGATTCATGGAGGAGGTTGTTGTGGAAGACGAACGGGTCAATGGATTGGCTAGGTGCAGGGTGGGTCACTCTCGTGGATGTTGAAATCACACAGGGTTAGAGCGAACCTTGAGGTTAAGATGAAAATCGTAACTCAGTGCCAGATGCTTTGATGAATAGGAGTGACCAGGAGGTCACAAATTATTGAGAACTGACCATAGTTGCCATGGTTCTATGACAACTTGTATAATTTCTCTGTGGGGAATTATGTCTTCTAAAGGTGTATGTTAATGCTGATAGTCATTGCAACTGTGTGTGGTTGCAGTATTTATTAGTTTTATATAGCCCTATAATTTTATGACTTAAATACTTATTCAACATACCTAAATTTGGAGAAGAATTTTATGAGATGAGAATAAATAAGAGAAAACTGAGACATAAATCTAGAAAGGCCCTGTGGGGTCATTGGAATGTGTAACACTAAGCTGAGGTGCCCGTGTTTATTCTGTGTTGGAGAGTCAACAAAGGCTGCCTCTGTTTTGTGTATGGTTGAGGTGTAATGCTAACTATGCTGTAGGAAGAATCACTTGAAAGTGGCTTGCAAGATAGATTGGAGAAGGGAAGGAAGACCAAAGGAGCACAGTTGTCAGCTACAGTTGTCTGGGTCAGGGCTGATCAGACCTTGAAAGAAATCAGTGGGAAAGGGAGGAAAAGAAGGCGAGGTGGAAAATAGTTCAGAGGGAAAATGCCTTTAGGACTTGGTTACCAGCAGGGAAGGCAGTCAAACATGGCGGTAACTAGGAGAGAGGTAAAGCCATAGACAGAAACCACAAAGCCAGGGGCGACATTTGTTTTAGGTAGGAGCATGTGTTGCATTTCTGGTGCTGAAGCATATCAAAGGGAAGTATCCAGGCGATTATAAATGTAGGTGTTAAATTCAGGGCAGAGATGGACAGAAGAGGCCTTCTATGGTTAATCCCCTAACAGCAAATGCCCATCCTGGCCTCCTTCTCCTTTTTTTTTTTTTTTTTTTTTCTGAGATAGAGTCTTGCTCTGTGCCCAGGCTGGAGTGCAGTGGTACAAACTCAGCTCACTGCAACCTCTGCCTCCCAAGTTCAAGCAATTCCCTGCCTCAGCCTCCCAAGTAGCTGGGATTACAGGTGCTCGCCACCACGTTCAGCTAATTTTTATATTTTTAGTAGAGATGGGGTTTCACCATCTTGGCCAAGCTGGTCTTGAACTCCTGACCTCATGATCCTCCCACCTCAGGCTTTCAATGGGCTGGAGTTACAGGCGTGAGCCACCGCACCTGGCCACCTCCTTCCTTCTTTGCAGCTCACCCGTACTCTCATCCTGCTTTCCTCTCTACTTCATTTTTCCTAACCTTTCCCATTGATTCCTCGGGACTCACAGCTTATTTCTGAGGATAATGTCTCCTTGGTTCCCCATGTTACAGCTCTCTTCCTCAAATATTCTATTATTTCCTGCAAACCTCACACTTCTTTCTTGCTTAGTCCTCTTTATCTGTGTCCACATACCCCTAATACACTTGTTATGCTGCATTTTGTTTGCCTCTTTACTTGTCTATTTCCTCCCCTAGACTTTGGGCTTTTAGAGGACAGGGACTCAATAAAAGTATGACATAGCTACTTTTGTGGGGTTCAGTAATACTTTTTAACTTTAAAGAAAATTTAAAGGTTTTACATTTTGATGCCTTCATTTAAAGAAAACGAATAGGATTAAACAATTCATAACAAATACACAATCCCAAATGTGATAGACATTACAAAGGTTCAAGAACTTATGCACATTTTCTATATCACAGCCATTGCCTCTAAGAAAAATGAAGCTTGGCTCTGATTTGTTTTGTCCCCTTTCATAATGCACTCTCTAGCAAAGCCTGTAGAAACCTAATCAGCAAAGCAACACATATTCTTGGAAATGGGGACAATATCTGTCCTTTTCCTGTCCTCTCACTCATTTTTTTCTGAAGACCTACTGAGACCTGAACTATCAGTCTGAACTACTGGAATACATATTTGCCCTCCAATAAAACTGGGTCTTTTAAGTCTTGGCCCTCTCCATTTCTGCAACATCTCTGTCTTTCTGCATCTGTATGGACAATATCCCAGAGGACTCTGGACAAGAAAATATCTTCATAGACAAGCCATATAAAGAAAAAAAGAGGGCTGAGTTTAGGATGCTGGGAATGGCACACATTTAATGAATGTTGCTAGAAAGAAGCCAGGAAAGAATTGGTCAAACAGGAAGAAGAAGACGTGGAAGAAGGCAGGGTTGAAAAATTCAGGAGGAGAAGCCACACACTCATAAAGACAGAAGTAGATTGATGGTTACCAGGGGCTTTGAGTGACAGATTGAGGAGTGACCATTAATGGGTACAGAGTTTTGTTATGGGATGATAAAAATATTCTGGAATTAGTGATGATGGCAAGACTTTACAAACGTGGTACAAACCACTGAATTGTAAACTTTCAAACAATAAGTAAGAAAGTTAAAAAAATTAAAATATGTGAGAGGAGAATAAAACATAAAAAACTAGTCAAACACATCGAACACTAAACACATCTAACAATTTAGCTTGAAGATAAATTGAAAGGTGATGGGATTCGGTGATTAGGAAGCCAGTGGTGAGCTCAAAGAGAGTAGTTTCAGTAGCATAGTTATTCCTATCTCTTCTACTTCCTGCTCCATAAATATATAAATTGATAGGATTATTCCTTCACATACCATCACTATTGGCAGAATGTTTGATGGTTCTGTGGGTCCAGGAATATGTTTGGTTTAGATCAGCTAAGGTGACATTCTGAATGTGTTTTGGAGACTCTGAGCATGTACGCTCCTGCCCCCTGGGACAAAGCATAAGACTGTCATTCTTGCTGCCCTTCTAAAACCAAACCTGTACAACAAGACCTGATTAGCTCATGTTGTCTCAATTACAAGCATCACCTCTGATGGCCCCAGGTGAAACAGGAAATACTCTCTTTGAATTCTGACAATAGGTTTCTGTGGTATGGTCCATTGGTGGAGTGCTGCTGGCCTTGTGATGGGCAGAACTGACCCTGGGCTAACTATATGTTTTCTCTGAGACACATGTGCTTTTTGTTTTAAGCTGAGGATAATAAACTTTAATCTGACCACTTCTTATAAGAAAACAATACGAAAGTACATCGTAATCTATTAAGCATATATAAATATGTTTTTAATTGACATTGTTATAAGATTAGAGACACAATTAAATTATTTTTAAACTCTGTACTGGTGTAGGACCAGCCCCCTTAATGCCTGTGTGTAGGATCACAGGCTTTATATCCATGTACATCTTACTGAGGCCTGTACTTATTGACTGAATTGAATATTGCTTAAATGAGAAAACTCCAGTGTCGTAGCGTGATTAACCTCTCTATTGCCTTCATCTTACGTTGTTCATTTGTTTTTTTCTGCTCTTCATCTAGGCTTTCCGAACGAGCCTGCTGCAGTCATTGCCCTCAGCACCATTAAGGAATGGCTTGCCAAGAATCACCATGAGGTAGGAGGAACGGCATAATCAGTGAACATTCAGGATAATGTAATTTGATGCTCAGTTCCCCCCAAAGAAGCACATAAATGTTATAAATATCAACTAAACCTAGTCAATGAGCCAAACCTAGCTGACCATTCGTCACTTGGGTTACATGAGAGTTACATTAAATATTTTTCTGTAATTGGTGGAATGCAGTAACTCTATTGATCTATTTGGTGAATTGAGCAGATTCATTTAGCCATCTAATTTTTTTTCCATCTGTGGATAGTATGGGTTATATGTGTGAAAAAGAGAACAGGATGGATTTCATTAAGAATAACGAGTTTTCCTGTGCTATTTTCCTTAGAGCTAAGTTATCTTTGTTGACTTGAGGTTCCCGGTGTACAGTAATTGTTTGGTGTCTGTGTTCTTTGGATTTATAACTAATCACTTCCCTAAAGTCACGTCTGAATGTGAGATTGAAGTGGGCTTGTGTAATTGATCACAAAATCGTTATGAGCAGGATTTCTTCTGAAACTAAATGCCTTCATCAGAGTATTCATCATGTCTCCTATTCTGCTTAATAAGATCTTTGCAATATGTTTAGTGATGAACGGGGGAATTACTCAAGTAAACAAAGCAACAAAATAACTAGAGACCATGGAGCTTTAAATTTCAGAGATTTGTTGATTTACATATTGTAACAGCTAGGAGGTTTCAGACAATGCACAATCTTATGCATTTTTCTTCTGATTTTATTTTTCTCCTCAGTTATTCACATAAGGGCTATAAAAATTGTGTTTCATTTTATGGTGGACCATGAATTTCGCTTTTTTCCTTGGGTAGGAGATGAATTATTTGGAAATAATTAGATATGGAAACAGGTGATGGGGTTTTCAAATGAGAGAGCACTTAGTACTTTTGTGTATTTGAAGAAACAGCAGTGTCATTTTCTAATTATTGTAATTTCAGCATTTCTTGACCACATGGCCAAACCTATCCATTTTGGTGCTTGCCCTTTATTTTCCTCTTACTTTGAAATGTATAAATATGGCAACTTCAATTTAAAGGATATCTTAAATTACCTCAAAGAAGCAGAAGAAAAACAAATAGCTAAAATATCCAGCTTACAAAACATGTCTTTGACATGTGTTATTTTCTTTTCACAAGAACCTTATGAAATCTCTAGGGTAGGTATATGTTATCTTCATCCGCATTCTCCCTCAAAAGGTTAAATGACATACTCAAGATTGGAAAGTCACAGAACCAAGAGACTGACCCAGTTCTCATAACTCACTGGACATTCCTTATTGGAATGCCATGGAGGCCAGAAAGAGAAACTCAGTTCCTTTAAAAGCCAGTTATCTTCAGTATATCACTTGGTCATAGTAAATGTTCCACACCTGGATTAACTGCTTTGCAAAAGTGTTGCATGAGTGAAAGTTGATAACCGAACAAGTATATCAGTGCATATCCATCATTTCTACTAGAATAGTAATCCAAGGATATGCCCCACTGGAGGAAGTTTTCATGCGTCATCTTGGCATGTGATGGACAAACGCATAAACTCTTATCATTGAGGATGTGGTGATGAAGAATAAATATGTTGGTCACATGTACAGCTCATTGACAAATTCTACTCATTGATTCTCTCTAGCTAAATTATGCAGAAACTTATTTTCCATAGAAATTTTCTAATCTAGTGTTTTCTGCTTAATTCACTTGCCTACCCTGTCTTTGAGTCTATTCTTTTGCTTTCATGCCCTTTTATTTTTCTGCTAATTTCTTGGGTCCATTGTAGAAAACATAGATAATTTGGACTGAGAAACTCAGTTATTGCTATTGCAACTTTAAACATATCCTGTGGCGGGGCGCGGTGGCTCAAGCCTGTAATCCCAGCACTTTGGGAGGCCGAGACGGGCGGATCACGAGGTCAGGAGATCGAGACCATCCTGGCTAACACGGTGAAACCCCGTCTCTACTAAAAAATACAAAAAACTAGCCGGGCGCGGTGGCGGGCGCCTGTAGTCCCAACTACTCAGGAGGCTGAGGCAGGAGAATGGCGTGAACCCGGGAGGCGGAGCTTGCAGTGAGCTGAGATCCGGCCACTGCACTCCAGCCTGGGCGGCAGAGCGAGACTCCGTCTCAAAACAAACAAACAAAAAAAAACATATCCTGTGCTGATTCCCTTTTTAAAAAGACCTTGAGTTTCAATATGCTAATTTAAGCAAGGCAATTTGAATACATCAGGTTTTTCTAAATAAATGAATTCTAATTGGTAGGTCATAGATAAAAGCTAAATAAATTGATTAGCAGTATTTTGATTTATTTTTTGCTCCGTTAAAACAAACAAACAGACTAGGTTAAGGACTTATAAAAGAGTATTGCTTCTAATTGTTTTGTCTTCATTGCAGTATTATTTTGATGTTCTGATTGTTTAAGCTACTTATTCATTAATTCACTCATTTGATAAATATTTATTGAATCCCCCTAAGCACCACATACGTTTTTATATTCCAGGGACAGAGCACTGAAAAACAAAATCCTTGCTTTGTCATATTGGTAGTCTAGAAAAAAAAAATTGTTTGCTTAACATAAATTAAGCAAATAAAAAATAAAGAAACAGGAAAGTTCAAAGAGTGCTTTACAAAATAAAACAGGGCAATTGGAGAATGTGTTTTTAGGTAGAGATTGTGCTGAGGACATAATCTTGGAATACAAATTTGTACAATGGGAAGGAGGAAGCCAAGCCAGACAGAAGTTTGAGGTAAAACATTCCACACAGAGAGAACCACAGGAGAAAAGCCTGGAAGACAGAACGAGCTTACTGCTTGCTAGCAATGGTGAGACCCAATGTGGTTGAAGCAGAGAGATGAAAGAATGGCAGGAGACAAGTTTGGAGAAATAGACAGAGTCAGATTATGGGGTCTTGTGGTTCATAGAGAGACTTTGAATTTTATTCTAGTGGGTAGTTGTTGAAGCGTTTTGGGCAGGAGACTAACACAGATAATTCACCTTTAAAAAACAAGCCTGGCTGCTCTTCCAAAAAGAATATCTGATATTTATAAGATACCAGAGTAAGAAATGGCAGATCAATTAAGAGGATGCTGCAGTAAATCCAGGCAGGAGTTGAGGGTGCTCTGGAATACAGTGGTGGTAGAAAAGGAGGTAACAAGCATCAAGTTGGGGGTACACTTTGATGATGCCGCCAATAGGACTAGAGGATTGTTTTCTGTTAGGATGGGGTAGCTTATGCTGCAGTTACAAACTACCCCCAAATCTTGGTATCACAAACAGCAAAGGTGTGTTTCTTGCTCACACTGTTTGTACATCTTGAGTCAGCAGAGAGACCTGACTTACAAACCCAGGCTGACAGATAACTCTACCGAGGAAAATATCATCTATCACATGGCAAGAAAAGATAGATAATCAATTCCCTTGTAGAAATGTTTCTACAAAGGAATGATGCATATAACTTTTGCTCACATTTCATTGTCCAGAAAAAGGCACCCAGGGACTAAGTTCCAGGAGACAAGAAAATGTAGCCTTTTTGTATGTTCAGAATAGAGCAAACTGAATATTGACAAAAATTAGTAGCGTCTATTATAAAGGTAAATCAGATGTGCTCTATGGCAAAAAGAGAAGAATCAAGGATGACAACTAAATTTTTGGCCTGAGCTGCTGAGTAAGTTTTGGTGCATTTACTGAGATGAAGAATATTGGTATAAGAGCATGTTTATATGAAAAATATAAAGAAGACAAGAATTGTGTTGCCATGCTACAGATAGTTAAGGTCTGAAATGATTTTAGATATCTAATGAAGATTTCATGTAGACAATTGGTTATTGGAGCCTAAAGCTCAGGAAAGAAGTAGGAAAGAAAGACCTGGTGAAATTGATCAGATTACCATAACTTTAACTTGGGTTTGGCCTCAGTTTGAGATTGCTTGCAAGAAAAAGGACTATGGTCAAAAGGATAATGTGTTGTATCAGTGAACTACATTTAAAAAAAAGTCTTGAAATCCAAGGGCCAGAACTAGAGACGAGTCTCATGAATGATAGAATCCCAAACTATAAAACCAATGAGAACCTAGGTAGCTCATTTTCATTCTCTCCCACTCCATCTCTATGTCTCTCTCTCCCATGTCTCTGTTTCATTATTATTATCATTTTGCATGTTATCTTTTATTCTCATTCACCTGCTTACACGTGGCCCCATTGTGACTGTGTGTGTCCATTCATGGGTCAATCAGCCCTACCTGGAGCAAGGCCTGGGTTCGATGGATAAGGTTGCATTTTCTGAAGCTCTTAGCTGGTTAGGTTCCCCAAAAATTTTCCTTTAAAACACAAAAAGGAGGAATCTATGTAATGTGAGTCTCCCATCAGTGGTCATACTTTTCTTATTCAGCTGAGTTTATTATTCAACATTCACAAATTTCATGGTCTGTGGCTGTCATTCCCCATTAATAATCGATGCTGTCATATAATTGATGAGCTTTTACATTTCACCATTAACTTACTCTCCGATTTCTAAACCATCAGGAATGTGCACTTTTTCTTTTCCAACACAGTAGTTGATTTGCTTATGTTCAATTTCATAAATCACCGCCAGCTGGTGTGGCTGGATACTTCCACACCCAGAGAGGTCTGACTGGAGTCCCAGTGGTCAGGAGGAAGAAAATCATATTCTGTTGCCCACCATCCACTTGTTTAACTTACCCAAAGTCTGAACTGCGAGGGCACAGCATACATTTAAGAGGACTCAGAAACCCTGGGGGAGGAACCCTGCTGCACACACAGCGTAGTGGCTCAAACAATGGCAATTCTAGCAGAAGAGCTAAAGCAGCGCTTCAACAACAAAAAAAAAAAGAAAAGAAAAATAAGAAGAAGGAGAATTCTCAAAAGTCTGTAACTGAGGCACAAAAATGACTTAGAATTGAAAAACATAAAGACTCTTGAGTTGAAAAATTTAAGAAAAAAACAAAATAGAATGTTCACTACTGAGAACTGAATTATTGCTATGAGAAG